ATAAAAAATATAAAAATTGACATTAACTTTGGTATTTATGCCAACTAAATAAATTTAATTGAATAATTAATAAATCAATGATTAATTTTTATTTTTTAATTTTAATTTATAAATATATATTTATTACAACTTGTACCTTTAAAATATATATTAAAAAACCATAAAAAAAAATGACACTTGATTCTTTAAAACTTAACTATAACCATATTAAATGTTAAAAAATATATTTTTTCTAATACTTTTTAAACTTTTTGTGAAAAAAGTGTTTATAAATAAGTAAAAGAATAAAACTCCGCCTAACAAACCCTTAATAAAGTTCTTGAACAACGTATCAAGGTTGGAGAGCAAATTTACCACTACAATTACCAGGAAGATGTTAAGGAAAAAGGAGAAATTTTTTTATCCATGTTATATAATCCTCAATAAATATTCAGAAAAATATACTTTTTGTTACTTTTTGGGGTGGAAAACAATAATGGAGCAAGCAGTATGTATGGGAGAATAAAAAAAATGCGGTTTAGTTGTAGACTATGGAGAGATAATTTCAGATGGGCCCATGATTTAGTTGCGTTGGCCTTTATTGTTTTTTTTTTTTAATGGTTGGGCTTGTGGGTCCGCTACAGTCATGATCTAGTTTTACGACCAACAACCCAACCCAACTGCATATTTATATTTTACCCAGAAAACCTGTATATTTATGTTTGTCTATTGTTATAAGTAAGAACTTGAATTTTTTATTAAAAAATTTAAATTTAAATTTTAAAATGAGCAGAGAGAGATTTGAAAAGATGGAAATTATTTTTATTATATAACTCATCATTTAATAAAAAAAAATTACTCACAAAAGTTTTAAGATTGGTTTTTGTTTAAATAGGAAGTAGTTTTCTAAAAAATATTTTAATAAACTTAATTATATATTAAACTGTATTTTAATATTCAATCGAACATATTAAACACTTTTTCCTTTATATATATATATATATAGATAGCTTACTTTCTTCTCTGTAAAACAGAAGATGATGCGCCAAATTATTAAACACCCTTATCACTTTATCACCATTCTATTTAGGTGGATTTTTGCAAGAAGCTGATGTAAGAGGAAACGGGAACTCGTTGGCATATTGATGTCTTGGTAACTTATAGGCAAAAACTAGAATTAAGCTCTAGAAGGTTTTCAATTTTTTTTTGGTTAAATACTTTTTT